AAGCCTGTGCCTCTTTTTAAATAAACAATGCTATTTCTACCTCAGTAAATCTAGGTTAGTACAAAATACTATCAAAAGGCTCAAAGACCAAACGCCCCTACCAAAAAAAAAAAGGACCCCTCCTGGCCCAGCTGATCTCTCAGCTCCTGGGCCCCCTGGCTGCTTCCCCTGCTCGGCCCTGCTATATCCTCCTCCTCTTTTTGGTCTTTAGCCCTTGCCTCTTACATCTTTTCACCCAGTGTTTGCAGAATCAATTACAAGCTTTTACCCATGACATAATACAAAACATAATGGTGTTCCAGGACTACCAAGTTGCAAGCCAGCCTCGCCCCAACCAGTGTCCCTACTCAGCATGAAGCAGCTAGAAACAACAAACTGTGCCCTTCTCCCTTTCTTTTATATATATGTAACAAAAGCCTGGAATGTTAGGGTCGCAGCAAGGCAAGCCCATAGACCCCCTCCCCGTTCTCCCCTGCTAAGCTAAGCTCACAAGAAAAACAGCCTCAAGCCTTGCAAACAGGGCACCTGGGTTCTAGGATGTAGGATGGTGACCCAATTAAGCAGAATGTTAGCACCTAAAAACCAAAATGTGTTTTTTCTTAGACTAGCACCCGGCTACCTGCAAACCCCCTATATAACCCCCACAGTCTGTAAGCTAGGCTGCTGTCTTCACTGCCTGTGGTGAGGCAGCCAGCCTGGCAGGTTAAAATAAACTTGCTAAAGTGACCCTGGATCTGCCTCTCCAGACTTTCAGTCAACCTCACATTTCTAGGTGATACCGCTTGTACGATTAATCTAAAATAGCTAAAGGCATAGAAGCAAAGAACAGAATGGTGGTTGCCGGAGGCTGCAGACAGAAAGAAACAGGGAAAGAATACAAAGTTTCAGTTATACCAGATGAGTAATTTCTAGACACCCACTGTACAACACAGTGCCTAGCATTAACAATACTGTATTGTATATTTAGCAATATGCTAAGAAGGTAGGTCTTATGTTAAGTGTTCTTACTGCTCATAATAATAAATAAGAAGGCAGGGGAAACTTTGACGCCATGGGTAGGTTAACGGCACAGATTGTGGTGATGGTTTCACAGGGGTATATGTATCTCCAAATTCATCAAGTTGTAGACATTAAATACATACAGCTTTTTGTACAAAAATAGTACAATGAACATCGGTATATCCTTCACTTAGATTCACCAGTTGTTTACATTTAGCTATATTTTCTTTCTGTTTTTACAGAACTACTTGAAGGTTACTTGCAACACATTATGAAATCATTTCTAAATATTTCAACATGCATCTCCTAAGAATAACAACTTATTCTATATAACCACTGCCATTGTTACCATACCCATTAAAATGAGTAATTATCTCAGTATTACCTAATATTCAGTCTATAGCCAAATTTCCTTAACCATCAAATTACAAAAAAAAAGACCATATAGCTACTTAAAAATCCAGGATCTAACCAATGACCCACACACTGAATTTGGCTGCTACTCTCTTTAATCTACTTAAATCCAGAAAAAGTCCTCCAGCATTTTTTTTTTTTTTTTTTGGCCTTTTAGGATATTGACATATATGAAGCAGATATCTCCACATTTTTAAGCTTACCTCTGCTTCCATTTTCACTATTAGAAAAATGCCATAATCCTTCCTTTCTAAGTGTCTGGTACTCTCTCCTTCCCTCCTGACAGAGGTAGGCTCCTTTGGGGGTTGGGGAGAGAAAGGAGAGAAAGTCACTCACTTTCTTGTTTCTCAGGTCTCCATTCATTTGTTAACCTGTTGAAATCATATTCCTGCCCCCTCATTCCACCGATATTGCTTTCACTGAGGCCACAGATGGCTTTCTAAACACCGAGTTCGAAGGATTTTTTTTCAGTTATTACCTTATCTGACCTCTCTGCAGCAGCTGCTGTTTCACCCCGTTATCTATCTCCCGGAAGTATTCTCAAACCTTAACACAATTCGCTAGTTCTCTTCCCAAGTGCTGGTAACCACCACAGTTGTCCTTGACCTTCTTACTCCCTCCAACGCTTTGACGACCAGCTATTAGTGATTCCTAAATCTCTTCTCCAGTCCAGAACTCTCTCCAGGGCTCCAGACTCATTTATCCAGCTGCCTACCAGACACGGCGATCCAAGTTTCCCATAGCCCCCTGTATGTAATGTGTCTATTACCGAATTTACTGTTTTTCCCCTTCAATCCATTCCTCCCACTGCACTCCTTTTCTTAATGGAAACACTAATCCTTCAAATTTAAAAACTATTCCCCTCCCACCTCATTCTCACCAATGAAACTACCACTAAGTCCTCTTGATTCAGCCTCCTATGTAATTCTCACATTCATCCCCTCCTCTCTGCCTCTACAGTAATGGCACAGTTAAGGCCCTCAACATCTCTCCTATGAACCATCACAAAGATGTAGTTAATCTCTATACTTCCAGTTCTCTTCTTCCCCAGTCCATCCTCTGCCTTGTCCAGTTTTTTATTTTTGTTTTTATTTTTTGAGACAGGGTCTCACTCTTCACCCAGGCTGGAGTGCAGTGACATGATCTCAGCTCACTGCTTCAAGTGATACTCCCAACTTCAAGTGATGCTCATGCCTCAGCTTCCCAAGTAGCTGGGACTACAGGTGCACGCCACCACACCCAGCTAATTTTTGTATTTTTTGGTAGACACTGGGTTTCACCATGTTGGCCAGGCTGGTCTCGAACTCCTGACCTCAGGTGATCTGCCCACCTTAGCCTCCCAAAGTCCCAAAGTGCTGGGATTACAGGCATGAGACACCACACTCGGCCAGCTATTTTTTTTTGAAACACAAATTGGTTCATGTTAAGTACCTTCCAAGACTCCCCATCCTCTGCTGGAGCACTTTAGCATGGTGACTAAGAACACAGGTACTGGAATTGGAAAAAGCTGGATGCAAATTCTAGATTTTTTCCACTTACTGTGCGGCCATGACACTACTTGTCCTCTCTAAGACTTAAGAGTTTTCATGCATAAAATGGGGACGATTTATGCCTACCCCACAATGTTTTTAAGAGAATTATAAAATGATGTAACACATTTATCCCAATAACCACACAAATTAAATACCTAATAACAATCATTTTAAGATAAAGTCCCAAGTCAAGCATGGTGGCTCATGCCTATAATCTCAACACTGGGAGGCTGAGGTGGGAGGACTGCTGGAGCCCAGGAGGTCAAGACCAGCCTGGGCAACATAGTGAGACCTTGTCTCTAGAAAAAAATAAAAAATAAAAATTGGCCAAGTATGTAGTGCACACCTGTAGTCCCACCTACGCGGAAGGCAGAGGTGGGAAGGTAGCTTGAGCCCAGGAGTTCAAGGCTGCAGTGAACCATAATCGTGCCATTGCACTCCAAAGTGGTGAGAGAGTGAGACCCTGTCTTTTTTCTTTTTTTTCTTAAAGATAAAGTCCAAATTACTTACCATGGTCCTTTATGATCTGGTCACTGCCTACCTATTCAGTTTCATTTCCCATTAATCCTTCCTCACATTCTACAGAGTCATACTGTTTCACATATTTTTGCTTTTGAATACACAAATAATTAACTTTGCCGAAAAAGCCTAGTCTCCAGTGCTTTGTCCAATAAGTGAACTCTTTAAGACTCTGACCTCAGTTTTTGTCCTATGAATCTCTATGGCTTTGTATTACATCTATTTTCCTGTCTACCTCCCACCCTAAATAGTGCTTCTTGAAAGCAGAGATAAACGGAGAAAACATAAAAAACTACGAACAGCCGTGAGAATTCATCTCAGACATGGAATCAGATTAATGTTGAACAAATTTATAGAAAGGACCTAAAGTCATCATTCCAAACTAAGTTATCATTCCAAACTAATTGAATGTAACTCATGGTTTATTCATTTTATGCTTTATTCTTTTATTCTCTTTTAAAAATGCAGAGGAAGCATCAATGTGACGAGTGTTTAACGTGAGCAGGTTAGGAATCTAGTACTTGGACATTGTTTTTGGTGTGTGGAGTAGCTGTGGAGGAACAGGTATTCAAAGCAGGTCTTGAAAAATGTTTCAGTCGAAGTAGAAAAGGTCTGACAGGGAATCAGGACCTCTTTCTGGTAGGCAAGTTGGGCTATGTGAACCTTTAGTCAAAACCTCAATGCAGCAAAATTGAATTTAGTTATTATTTTAAAGGCACGTTGTTCCCTAGAGGGAAATTTTGACAACTCAAATTCAAATAAACGATTTATTAAGGGAGAGACGTCTACAGAAGATTCCACAAGAACTACCAAATGAGCAATCAGAAAAGTCAGAATACTAAGCATCTGGAAGTAGTCTCTATTATAAGGTGACTGATGACTAAACACTTGAAAAAGAAACGTATTTGCGAATACTAAGGCTACGAGGGCTCTGAGACTAGAAAAAGTGTGGCCTGCACAGTTAACAGTCTTAAAGTACTACAAAACACGACGCAGGTAAATTTCCTTCTACGAAGTGATTACAAACAACAATTTTATGTGTCAATAAACCAAGTCATATTTCTTTCTTAAATCCAGGATGCCAGGTTTATCACATATCAAGTACACACTTAAAAATATTATTGCCCCCTAACAATTATTAGAAAAAGATGATTCAGAAGGGGGTGGGGAATCTATTCTCAATTTCTTAAAAATTCCATCAAAAAGGCAGAAATCTGGACTTCGTTACCAACGCTCAAGTTTTGGACACTGCTGTGATGCCTGAGAAACAAGTTCAAACAAGGTCGGCCTCGTTTTGCTCTTCCCGGCGGAGTCAAGGAAAGTGACAGATGTCTAAAGGGAGTCGACCCCGGGGGAGCTGCCAGGGGATGCTGTCAATCTACGAAACTGGAGAGGCTCAGAAAACGGATCAGAGCTGGGACAGAGAGTGGTAACAGCGGCGAGGGGTGGCTGCACGAGGATGTTAGAGACGGGCGCGGCGGCGAGGCTGTCACAGGGCGGCCTCCCCCCACCCAGCCTCGGGCCCCAGTCACTCACATGCGGGGCCCGCGCCCCCTCGGGCTCCTCCCGCCTCGGGGACAGCGGCCGCCGGGCGAGGAGGATGGGCAACTTCCTGCTTCCGGGAGTGCGACCCGGATGCAACCCGCACGCCATTGGCAAGGCCTTGCCCCTCAAGAGTAGTTCCTCCTCTGGACTAGCGCTTCCGCCCAAAACAGAACAAGCAGTGTTGTGGAGAGCGCGGGAGCTCTCGCGATATCCGAAGACTGCAGGTTCTTGCTCCCCCTGGCGTCCTTCTGCCGCTCCGGCTCTTTCGCCTCAGTCGTAAATCCTTGTCTCCATTATTTACCTGGACTGACTAACACAGACTTCATAGCTGAACTGATTCACTGAACAAGCATTTACTGAGTCCCTAATACGTGCCAGGCAGTGTGTCAGGCGTGAAGGATGGGAGTAAAAGGGATACGTAAATGAAGAGCAGCCCCTTCCCTCAGGAGCTCCTACTCTTAGAGTAAAAGACAAACAAATCCCTCCAGTTTACACTCAGCCCACTCATTACTGAGAGCTTACTGTGTTGATAAAAGAAAAACTGCAGCTGAATTAAGTTTAAAGGAGTTTTAGCAATGAATGATTCGCGAATCCGGCAACCCCCAGAATCGCAGCAGATCCAGACTCTAGGGGTGCCTGGTGGTCAGAACAAATTTATAGACAAAAAAGGCAAAGTGAGGTACAGGAATAGGAAGTGAGGTTCAGAAACAGCAATATTGGTCACAGCTCGGTGTTCGCCTTATTTGAAGCAGTCTGAGCATTCAGCCGGTTATGAGTGGTTGAAGTACAGCCACTGGGATTGGCCACCACTGTTATTGTTACTGGTGTATACCATTAAGTAAGGTTTTCAATTTTGTCTATTAAGCTAAGTTATAGTCCATCCACAAGGAATCAAATATAGAAGGACAGAGTCCTTCTCGGGCCATATTTAGTTTGCCTTAACAATTTCCCGCTTTTGGTCATTTTCTCCATTTTGAGAGATTGACGAAAACCTTAGTCATTGATGTTACTATGACTGTTGTAAATGTATCTGTATGGTTTTAAAACCCACTGGGAAACCGTATAACAGTGGGTTTTGCAAGGAGATTATAAGGACCGAGAGAGGGTACCTCCTTACACTGAAACATCCTGTTTATGGGAGAAAAACAAAACCTGGTCTGTTCTAGCATGCATGCGTTTTTTTAAAGCATTAGCTTATGTCACATTTAGCATGAGTGACTCTATTTTAGTTTGATTTGTTGGGGTCCAGTGCATGAGCTCAATCCAAAATAATGGCCTCCCATAATTTTGTTTAAAAAAAGAATTACCTCCTTTTGACCAGGTTCTTAATTAGATGACAGTGTGACCAGAACTTAGGGCCTTAGTGCCAGTCTCAGTTACCATCATTTTAGGTTTCCGGTCTCAGCATGTCATTGCTAGGTTACAGTGCCCTCATGGTCACACATTTCTTTCAGCTTTTGTAATTCCAGTTGAAGCGAGACCATTTGACATTCTAGAGATGGCTGCTTGAAAGCATTTAAAACCTTTGAGAAAATACAGTACACCAGGGAGACTATTATTATGATTATCAGGAGGATAACAGCAAGAGTTTGAAGTATGTTCCTTACCAGGATCCCCATAAGCCAAACCACCTAAAATTAATTAGATTAAAGAATGAGCTAGATGAAGAGTCTACTTGCTTAACTAAGTGGTCTTTTCATTAATTCCCTACAACTGAATTTTTATTTATTTTTATTCGCTTATTTTTGCAACAGAGTCTCGCTCTGTCACCCAGACTAGAGTACAGTGCCACAATCGCAGCTCACTGCAACCCCCACCTCCTGGGTTCAAGTGATTCTCTGGCCTCAACCTCCTGAGTAGCTGAAATTATAGGAAACTGCCACCATTCCAGGCTAATTTTTGTATTTTTAGTAGAGATGGGATTTTGCCATGTTGGCCAGGCTGGTCTCAACCTCCTGACCTCAGAGGATCCACCTGCCTCTGCCTCCCAAAGTGCTGCAGTTACAGATGTGAGCCATTGTGCCCGGCCAGAATTTTTTATAACTTACATTTGATGTATTTCTCCATGGGCCACAGTGGCAGCAGCTGCGAAGGTACTTCTCTGTTTAGCCAATTCTGTTACTTAGCATTATGTTCACAAGAGAATTTAAAGTCTGTTGCATAACGATAGCCTTTAAAGTGGAATTTGCTGTAGAGCCTATTATGAAAGAGACATTTCAAATTATTGCCTCTTTTATTCTAAACCATGGAAAAAAGACCTAACAAATGATGTCTTTCTAGAAGAGTGAAGGCCTCTTGTCAATGTTCTCTTTAATCCATGATGTGGGTTAACAGGAGGTTTGACTGATTATGAGGCAACATATGTACCACTAAAATTTGTTACCTACATTGGGCCTTCATCTTTTATCTATTGAAGGATAAGGTTATTCATGTAAAAGGCTAGCTGCAAAATCCTTCACAAATAAAAGTATACCCTATAAGTGCACATAATAGACCCCCTTTTAATTTCTATTGTTCATAGAGGCATAAACAAGGAAAAAATATTCAATGAGTCTTGTGATATTAGCAGTTTTGATTCATGATCTTGGGAAAAGCTGTTCACATCAAGGATGTCATCTTGTTCTGGGGAGAAACCTTTTGGTTAGTTTTACCTTAAGGGTTCCAGTGGGTGTACAGTTCCAGGAGTGTGGAGGGACCCTTCTTAGTTGTGAGATTATGAACCCAAGGTTTAAGGCTCCAAAGTTTTCCTCTAGTGTGGATAGCAAGGACAGTCTTTCTTCTCTCTGATGTTCTCAGAAGATCCAATCTTCAGGTTCTAGATTGTGAAGGGATTGTCCTCTGTGAATCTAAAAAGCTTTCTCTGCCTGGTGAAAATATACTATAATCTACTGTCATAACATCAGCCCTGTTTCACAGGAAATCTTTTATACAACCAGAAAACATGCATTGAAAATGACAATAAAATGAAATCCCTTTATAAATGTTTAAATGGCCCATCAGGTAGCCAAATGCATCTGAAGCTTTGACTGTCTTTCCAGGAATATGAAAACAAACATTGGATTCTTTTTTTAAACCAAAAAACATTTTTTCACTTAAAAAAGTATTTAGAACACATAAAACAAAGCAACATTTATTCTTTTTTCTCATCTTCTGGTATGGGATCTGTTGGTGGCTCCCCCACTGTTGCACTGTTTCTCTCTGAGCCACTGTTAAATATGGAACGCTTCACCAATTTGTGTGTCATCCTTGCTCAGGGGCCATGCTAATCTTCTCTGTATCGTTCCAATTGTAGTATACGTGCTGCCAAAGTGAGCACCAAACATTGGATTTAAACTATTTCCGCAATTTATAAGTTACCACATCAATATATTCAATTTGGATTATTTTATTTTTTCCAGAACCTTTAATAACAAAAGTTTTAAGGACTCAAGAAGGATAAGGTGGCTGTCCATGCTTAACGTTGGACTTACGCCCTCTTGAATACCAATTGTTTCTCCAATTTAGGTGCATAGCACTGATAACTAATGGGTTATCATAGGTAATTTGACTTAGACCATTCAAACTGTATATTTAAACAATTTTAATATTGGCTGATTTAGCATGATAATCTAGAGCTTGATTTTGAAAGGTTTGTCAACTACCAAAGGTTTAAAACATTGGATATTACAACATAGAATCTTAGGTTACCATAAGTCATTCATGTAGCCGAAATGATAACAATTTTTAAAGGAAAAAACATTATTGTGATAGAGAGGAGACTCAGCTTTCTAAACAAGACACACTGAAGATGGCATGAGGCCAACTGACTGTCTCCTTTCTTTCCTCTCCCACTATTTTTTTTTTTTTGTAGTTCACTTAAAAGGTAAACAAAAACCTTTTGTTATCTTTTAATATTAAATAAAAATCCTTTTTAAAAGTGAAAACCAAATTTTATGTTTCCATTAGTGTATTTTTAATTTTTTAAAGCTAGTTTTTAATAACATTTTATAAACCTATTAAATTTTATTTTATTTATTTATTTATTTTTTTGAGACGGAGTTTCGCTCTTGTTACCCAGGCTGGAGTGCAATGGCGCGATCTCGGCTCACCGCAACCTCCGCCTCCTGGGTTCAGGCAATTCTCCTGCCTCAGCCTCCTGAGTAGCTGGGATTACAGGCACACAACACCATGCCCAGCTGATTTTTTGTAGTTTTAGTAGAGACGGGGTTTCACCGTGTTGACCAGGATGGTCTCGATCTCTTGACCTCGTGATCCACCCGCCTCGGCCTCCCAAAGTGCTGGGATTACAGGCGTGAGCCACCGCGCCCGGCTAAGTTTTAATTAGTTTGACCATAAGGTAAGATTTTTATAAACCCTTTATAACCTTCACTATTATTTTTCTCAGAGCAGAGCAATCTTCTAAGAAAACTCTGTTGTGCTTTTATTCCAATGTCTATAAGAAAAAAGTGAATAATGCCATTTTAACTTTAGCCGATATGTTCACACATAGAAACTCTTATAACTAATTTTTATAAACCTTCCACAACTTGTTCAAACCTTTACTTTTATTTAATTTCAAACAATCCTTTAACCCTCTAACCTAGGCAAAAATTTACATTCCTGTATTTTCTTATAATCTCTTACAAAAAAACACATTTCATTCTCCTTACATACCTTGCCTGTAAACTTATTTTTTCAGTAGTCTCGATTACATATTACAAAGTTAACTCTTAGCAACTTTTTACTTTTGGTGAAAACCTTTGTAAGTAAGGGATTTTAATCATGTACGATGTGTAGAGCCCAGGACCCAGACAGAAATGCAGATAAGGTGTGACTCTTTCCAACATCTAACTCTAGGTATCCCAGGCCTTACCTAGCTGTAAATTAGCAGGCAGGCTGTACATTTAAGAGTCACAGTGGCATTTTATGAAGCATTTAGGAGGCCTAATCACCTTTAAATTGTACAACATTTCTGGCATAAATTCCTTTTCATAAATTATTTCATGACTTACAAAATGTACGACATGTTTAGACTTTCTAACTTTCCCTAAACATCCCTCTTTTTAAACAACCATTTTACTTTAGGACAAGAATTTACCATACAACATCCTTTCTGATATACAATCTATTTTCTTTATAACCTTTGCATAGCTAGGGGACATGGCTAATTCCATATATCCCCAGGCCTTATTTAGAATGTAATGTCTCCAAAATAAATTGAACAATTTTCAAAAGTCAATGCAGTTTATGACCTTAAAGCATATAGCAAACCTAATATCTGACCTATATAATTTAGACAAAATGTCTTTATCAATAATCTTTAAAGCTGTTTTTATTTCCCAAAGATGACTAAAGTTACATGAACTAAAAGGCATTACAATTTTCATTTTGCTTTCAAAATATTTGATTTAGGCACTTATTTTTGTTTAAGCCAATAAATTAGAGCTCTTTTATATAAACATTACACACAACACATATAATTAAACAGACGAACAGAAGAAGATTACTATAGTAGTTTTAAGAGTTTTCATTTGCCGGTTTTTAAGTTTCTTAATTGGTTACTGGCTTTATAATGGAGTCCTTGGACGAACAGGGCCAGGAAAAGGGTTTCTGGTGCCTCCTCTTTTTCCCCTGGATTCCAGGCTGTTAGAGTATGAATATCCACCTTTAATTAACCTGACTTTTAACCATAGCACTCTTTAATAAAGTCCTTTTAAAATTTCCTATTGCCGATTTTGCCTGGGCCAAATGGCTGGTGTTTCTGAGATATTGTTATAAAGGCTTCAGAATTCCTTAAATGAAAAAGACTGGCAAGACTAAGAGTTAGCTTGGAAGCAGAGCAACAGCAATTCTCACAGGGTGCTGGTGCACACGTAAATTGCTACAGCCACTTTGGAAAAACAGTCTGGTGTTAACTACTAAATTATACACGTTACCTATGACACAGCAATTCTGCTTCTAGATACATACTCACAAAAATTCATGCACAAGTGCACTAAGATACATATACAAATATTCATAGCAGCACCATTATACATTGTGGTACGTTTGTGCAACAGAATACTACACAGCAAGGAAAAATGAAAAATGCCCACTACATACAACATGAATACATCTCACAAACATATTGTTAAGGAAAGGAAGCCAGGAACAAAAAAATACATACTTTATAACTCCGTTTATATAAAATTCAAAAGCAGGGAAAACCAGTCTGTGATATTAGAATGCAGAAAGTGGTTTATCCTTGGGGAGGACAGATGGATAATGATTGGTAGGGGGCTTCTGAGGAGTTGGAGACATTTTATTTCTTTATTTGATTTGACCCCTCATGGCTTCTGGCTAACTCCAATTTATTTTCTGGATCTCCCCAGGCTATCACTCCATGGAAAATTTCTGACTATCCAAACCTACTCTGGAGTAACCAGAGCTCAGAGTTCAGGAAATACTGTGTGCTTCTTCTTCTCTCTTTTTTTTTTTTTTTTGAGGCGGAGTTTTGCTCTTGTCCAGGGTGATCGCAATGGTGATCTCTGCTCACTGCAACCTCTGCCTCCCAGGTTCAAGCAATTCTCCTGCCTCAGCCTCCCAAGTAGCTGGGATGACAGGCATGCACCACCATGTCCAGCTAATTTTGGATTTTTAATAGAGATGGGGTTTCACCATGTTGGTCAGGATGGTGTTGAACTCCTGACCTCAGGTAATCCGCCTGCCTCAGCCTCCCAAAGTGCTGGGATTACAGGTGTGAGCCACTGTGCCCAACCTACTGTGTGCTTCTTATTACAGTCCTCATTCTACAATCCTATAGCTACGTATTTAGCTGTCCATCTGTGCTAGAATGTGAGTTTCTTTAGGGCAGGGCACTGTGTGTGTGAGATTCATTTCTGTCTCCTCAGTGCCAAGCGACTGATAGGAGCTGCGGTAAAAGATTCAGAAAGAAAGTGACCTTGGGGGTGGCTTTTCAATATTCAGACATTGGAGTTGGAGAGTGGCACATGCCTCCCAAGATATACAGTAAGGAACTGCACAAAGTCCAGAGAAAGGCAACTCAAATAACAAAAGACTAAACAGACCAAGGATTAAGACTTTTCCTTCTAGCTCAAGGGCCACAAGGTGGACATGAACTTCAGACTGCAGGAGGTATAAAAAGTATACTTTACGTTAGCATTTGTCAGTTTATTTTTATTTTTATTTTTTTTTGTTTGTTTGTTTTTTTTGAGACGGAGTTTTGCTCATGTTACCCAGGCTGGAGTGCAATGGCGCGATCTCGGCTCACCGCAACCTCCGCCTCCTGGGTTCAGGCAATTCTCCTGCCTCAGCCTCCTGAGTAGCTGGGATTACAGGCACGCACCACCATGCCCAGCTAATGTTTTTGTATTTTTAGTAGAGACGGGGTTTCACCATGTTGACCAGGATGGTCTCGATCTCTTGACCTCGTGATCCACCCGCCTCGGCCTCCCAAAGTGCTGGGATTACAGGCTTGAGCCACCGCGCCCGGCAGCATTTGTCAGTTTAAAATGTAGTGTTCCGTTCATTATTCATTCAACAAAAACTGAGCACTAGCTCAGCACAAAGACGAAGGAGGCCCAGCTCCTCTCTCAAGGAGCTGTCTAGTTTATCTTTACAACCTCGTACATCATTATTCCTTGTTGACAATTAAGGACAGTTGAACTGTCCTTGAGAGCACAAGTTCACCAGCTGTGGTACTTTAAGCAAGTCACTTAATCTGTAAGGCTCAGCTTCCACAAAGTAAAATGGGAATGGTAATATCTAGCTTGTTGTTTTTAAGATTAAGCGTGAAAATACGCAATAAAGTGCTTAGTTTTCTGCCTGGCTCATGGTAAACAACCATCATTAAGTGGTGTGCAAAGCATTTACAGCATAAGTTTGGTTGCTCTATTTCATTCTTGTCCTCCCTCCAAACCTCATAGCTCCTCTAATTTGCTTGTCTTCCTTGGGCCCTGCACAAACCCTCTTAACAACTTTCAGGTACCATCTATCCCAGGCAATCATGTTAAGCCCTGTTCTTGCTCTCATCCCTTTGACCTGCTTTCTCCTGTCTCCCCTTTTCCTTATCTCCCATTTTCTTCCTGCCCCTTCCCTTTCTTTTCTCCTCAGACTCCTTATCTTCGGATTCTGCAGGTTCAGGTTTGCTTGGTGACCATGGAAAAGCCAGTATTTAACTGCCGAGTCTCAGTTTTCATATCTTTAAAACGGGAATAGTACTATCTACTTACAGAATCGTTTTGTGGAAATAAGAAAGTGCAAGCACTATGTACATCGTACAGTGCCTTACAAAAATTATTTACTAGCATCTCTAAACTATGCCCTTTCATTCTCTTCCTCCCCTTCCCGTCCCCCGTCCCCGCCCAACTGTGAGACTAAGAAATTCTTCGAATTCAATGTTAGGACAGAACTCCAACCGGAGTGCAGCTTTTCTGATTGTTCCCGCCTTCCATGCCCAAACGAACCAATCATATCGCCCAGAGAGTGGCGCGGTATCGCCACTTGGAGACCACCAAGAATGAAGTTTGCATTTTTCCTGTGTTCTTGCGTCCAGCTTCTTCACGTCTCGCACCCCAGCCTCCCGGCATTTGAAGACAGGACCGTCCTCTTTCTTGTCCTGGCCACCCAAATCCTGGTATCGAAAGGGTTGAACGGCGGCGACCGGAAGTGTGCAACAGCGGCGGGTCTCCCGCTAATCGACGCCGGAAGTAGCAATTGCTAGAGAAGCATTCCGCCGGTTTCGCTATGGCTGCAATTCCCCCAGACTCCTGGCAGCCACCCAACGTTTACTTGGAGACCAGGTGAGGGGGTTCGGGCTTCTGGGACTGGAAGACGAGACGCGGAGCCCGGCCCTCGCCGTGGGTCTCCGTTCCTGGCGCGTTCCTCCGGGTGGCCGGCCTCCACGTGGAAAGGGGCGTGGAGCAGCGGCCGAGGCGGCCTCCTGAGGACTGAGAGGGGACCGCCATCGCCCGCGTCCAAGCTCTGCTCCGACTCGTGCTGAGGCCTCAGCGACAGCTGCCTGGTTGTCCTCCTTCCTTCAGACCGCTCATTCATTCATTCATTCAACAAGCGTGTAATGGGTCCACAAGCCAGGCACATAAGATATGAATTCGAGGATACAGAGGTAGATAAAACACACACAGCCCTACCTTTAGGAGCTTATGGTATAATGAAAGAGACAGATATGTAAACATTGCGTGATAAGTAGAACAGTTGTAAAAACAAATTACAGGAAAAAACAGGAAGAAGAACATTTTTCACACTATCAAAGAGTGATGTGGTAACCAACCTGCTAGTGCCATGCCTCTGGTGTATGTAATCTCGTTTAGTTTAATCCTAGCAACTTAAATCATGAAGGTATTATTTCACTTTCTCCCTTTTAATATTAGCAGGAGGAAACGCCAGAATTTACAGATTAAAGCCTTGACCAAAGCCACACAGCTAGTAAGTGGAAGAACCTCCCTTGGAGCCTGGTGTGCCCGTCTCACTTTGCTGGGTTCTTTAGCTCTATTCATTCCATTGCCTCTTTGGAAAAAGCTCAAAGTGATCTTTACAAAGTAGGACAAGGAAAGGATCCTGCCCCAAAACCTTTAATAACATCTTGCTTCTATAACAGTATGAAGTAAAAATTTACTAATCTGACATTCAAGGTTATTTTTTTCATCTGGCTCTTGTCTACCTGCCATTACCCTCTCAACAGCCAGAGACCAGCCAAGGTCTCTGGGACTGTCTTTCTGTTCTTGCCCATTGCTGCTTTCAAGCAAAGCAGAGTTCTGTCAGTTCTCTCTATATTTGCTCATGCTGTTCATGCTCTCTGGCCATCTTTCCCACCTTCTTATATGGCAAAATTCTGCATCTTCAGGCTCCATCCTGTAATTTCTGTAGTCCCCTGTTGGTATTTTTTCAAGTTACAATTCAAGCAATGTAGACATACAGAGTAAGAAGTGAAAGCCACCTCCTCCCTGAAAACACTATCAACAGTTTGTTGAATGATTGTCCAGAGCTTCTTCTATGTACATATAAACCTCTCTTTTATGTTTTCATTTTTTAACAAAAAAATGGGATCATATGATCACACTCTATGTATGTTTTTTTCTGTAATTTGGTTTTCTTTCACTCAGTAATTCAGATAGCTGCCCTTAGTATGGATAGTTGATATTTTAGGCATTTCCTATTTCAGGGACATTTAAGTGACAAACACTGGGATGAACATCTTTGCACATATTGTATCCTTAGGCACTTTTGCAAATTTTTCTAGAGGATACTTGGAGGTTGAAATTGCTGAGATATTCCCATTTCAGAATTGTATATGTATTTCCTGATTGTCTTTCCAAAAGGCTACTTCCAGTGTTTTAAAAATACCCACCAGAACGTAAGCTTCATGAGGGAAACAGTGCCTGAAATAGTGGCATACACAGAGTAACTGTTAATCTGTGTTGAATGTAAGCAGTGATGAATTGCAAAGATGAATTGCAGGCAGAAAGGCTGTTAGAAAGCTATTTTCTAGCACATTCCACATATACTTATAGAGTATTTACATTGTGCAAGGCACTGGATATCCAGACTATACAGAGCTGACTCAGTTCTCACTGGCCAGGTGCTGTGGCTCACACCTGTAATCCAGCACTTTGGGAGGCCTAGGCAGGTGGATTGCTTGAGTCCAGGAGTTCAAGACAAGCCTGGGCAACATGGTGAAACCCCACGTCTACAAAAAATTAGCTGAGCTTGGTGGTGCATGCCTGTAGTCCCAGCTACTCAGGAGGCTGAGATGAGAGGATGGCTTGAGCCTGGGAAGCGGAGGTTAACGATAAGCTGAGATTGTGCTACTGCACTGTAACCTGGGTGATGGAGGAGACCCTTTCTCAAAAAAAAAAAAAAATTGGAGCTTAAAGTCTAGGCATGTGCTGGAGTAGAGGGGAAGGTACCTACCCTTTCTCTTGCCTCTTCCTTATCCTTTAGTGGTACTGGGGAGAAAAAAGCACTCATCCTGTTGGGTAGGTACAAATATTCAAAGTTATCAGGTTTTGCGTTTGTTATACTCCCTCCCAAACAAACATAAACTAACTTTTATTCTATTAAAATTTTTTGAAAAGATAATATATCAGCTTTGTGCAGTGGCAGTATTGTAGCCAATGAGGTTTATCCAAGGCGCGATTATTGCTAATTAAAAACTTTTCCCAATACCCTGCCATGACGACTTGAAATATAGTCAGCATTGGCAATTTTTGACAGTCTTTATGGAGACTGAATTAAATATATATATATATATATATATATATTTACATGGATCAAAAATACGAAAGTTTTTAAAAGGTATTTATTAAACATCTTCTATTTCCCATCTACCCAGTCCCTACTCCCATCCAGAAACTTCTAAATAAATATGAACTCCTGATGTTTTAATGTCCCTTTTAAAAAAAAAAAAATTAAGTATAAGAATTTTTTTCCTAGTTTAGGGGTTGGTTATATTTGTTTTAGATCATCAGTGATGTATATGTATGTGGCATTAGAATTTTGAGTTGTCCATGCTTGTTATTTTGCAGAAAAGAAGTACCCAGAACACCTGCATGTTTTACTCGAAAAAGATAATCAGTGTTTATGTTACTTGCATTGTGGTGTTTTCCTTTGCTGAGCATGAAATCCAGTGGTTATCACAATTTCATGACTTAACAAGCTTGAAAATCAAGAGTCGTGGAGCAGTCCCATAATATTCCTGTCTGCCCTGACCTTGTTCCTTACTGGAGCTGTGTTGTCCTCTCTTTCTGCAGCATGGGAATTATTGTGCTGGAGCTATACTGGAAGCATGCTCCAAAGACCTGTAAGAACTTTGCTGAGTTGGCTCGCCGAGGTTACTACAATGGCACAAAATTCCACAGAATTATCAAGGACTTCATGATTCAAGGTGGTGACCCAACAGGGACAGGTACAGTTAAGCCAACATTAGTTTATGTTTTCTTTTTCTTTTTTTTTTTCTTTTTGTCTTTTTTTCTACAGCCAACATTAGTTTCTGAAGTCTCTGTCATAAATAGGTGATAAGGCAGCCAGAGCTCTCCTTTCCACTTACTAAGGACTGTGTTGGTTGATTCTGGTGACAACTCCTGCCTCCATCAAACACATATATGTGAAATTGGCCAGAAACCAACCTTAACTCCTAGGCTGGGTAGAATTTTTCATAACTGCATATATTGCTCACTAAAAACAAATAATATTTGTCTGAATTATAGTGATGCAAGTAGTCCGATCAATAAGAAGGAAAGACTTCATAATATCTTAAGAATAATAAAATCCTGGGATCTTTTATCGATTCATTCATTTAACAAATATTGAGTATCTGCTTTGTGTCAGATACTTTTCTAAGCTCTGGGGAGATACCTATAAAGAAAGAGACAGAATTCTTGCCCTCAATAAAGCAGCAAAAGGGGTGTGGGGATGCAATTTTAGTAGAAAAGTCAGGGAACTCCTCTCACATTATTGGAGAAGATATCTGAATGAAGGAAGAAAGTGAACCTTGTAACTGGGGGAAGAACGTTCTGGATGGAGGGAAGAGCAAACGCAGAGGCCCTGAGGCAGGAGCGTGTGCTGGAAATCATAAGGTACGTGGTACGTTGTAGGGCAAGGTAGAGACTGGGTTTTATTCTGAGCAAGATATGAGCCGTTGGAGAGTTTCAAGCAAAGGAATGATGCGATCTGATCTATGCTTTAAAAGGATCACTCTTCGGCCAGGCCTGGTGGCTCACGCCTGTAATCCCAGCACTTTGGGAGGCTGAGGCAGTTGGATCATTTGAGGTCAGGAGTTCAAGACCAGCCTGACCAACATGGTGAAACACTGTCTCTACTAAAATACAAAAATTAGCCAGATGTGGTGGCTGGCACCTGTAATCTCAGGTACTTGAGAGACTGAGGCAGGAGAATTGCTTGAACCCAGGAGATGGAGGTTGCAGTGAGCCAAGATTGTGCCACTGCATTCCAGCCTAGGCAACAGATCGAGACTCTCTCTAAAATAAATAAATAAATAAAAGGATCACTCTAAGTGATGTTTAGAGAATAGATGGAGGGACAAGATGTAAACACTATGTAAATAGTTGTTATACTGTATTGTTTGGGGAGTAATGACAAGAAAAATAGTTCTGTACACATTCAGTACAGATGCTTTCTCCACAGGTATTTTCAACTGCGGTTAGCTGAATCCATGAATCTAGAACCCACACGTAGGGAGGGCCGACTGTGCTCATGTGTAAGTAGCTGGATAGGAATATGGGGTTCAGGGAAAGACCTGGTATGGAGTTATTAATTTGGAAGTTATTGGCATTTAGATGGGATTTATTAGTGAACTGGTGGAACATTTACTCATTTTCAAGGACCCTTGCTTCTCAAGTCTGCTTTTTCTCTGCTAATCTCTGCTTGTTTGCCATTAAACAAGTTTGGTTCTCTCTGACAGAGTCTTTTCTCAGTCTTGTTCTTTTTTGTCATTTTTGTTTGTTTTTTTAAGATGAAGTCTCACTCTGTTGCCCAGGCTGGAGTGCAGTGGTATGATCTCAGCTCACTGCAACCTCCACCTCCCAGGTTCAGGGAATTCTCCTGCCTCAGCCTCCCTAGTAGCTGGGATTACAGGCAGGCACTACCACACCCGGCTAGTTTTTGTATTTCTAGTAGAGTTGGAGTTTCACCATGTTGGCCCGGCTGGTCTTGAACTCCCAAGCTCAGGTAATCCTCCCGACTTGGCCTCCCAAAGTGCTGGGATTACAGGTATGAGTTACCACGTCTGGCATTTTTGTCATTGTTAATTGTCTCATGATTTATCCTCCATGGCCAGAAGTACTCAGGTTTTTTGTTTTGTTTTGTTTTTTGGTTTTTCATGCATTTCAAAATACAGAATATATAGGAAAGCAGAGAAAAGTGGAGAAATCATTCGTAAGCATAGCTCCTAAGGATATCTAACTATCATTAACCAATCCCTCGATATCCCACCTTTCAGAAATGAACAGTGTTAACTTTTGGTGCCCATCTTTCTAGATGTCTTTCAGATGCCTGATTTAAAGGATAACAAGATAAATGGAAACAATTTCAAAAGAATAGGATATATTATATATGCTATTGTTTTTAAAATAGAAAGCATTACATTTAATTTTATATATATAGAACAGAATACTTGACTTCCTGCAGTGAAAGATGAGGCAGGTAGTACTTAAATTTCTACCTATTCTTATCTTTCCCTGACCTTAATTTTTGTTGCTATTTTTATTATTATCTGTCCTGCGCTCATCGTTCGTTCAGCTGCAGTGCGGGTCCTACGTTTTGGTGGATTAGTGCTCGCAGCTTGTTTGGCTCTTATCCTCACAAGTGCTAGAGGGCAGGGTTTCTTGTCTAGTGGGTTTTTGCGCTTTTTTTCCCAGAATGCTTAAGGTCACAATTGTCCAGTGGTTTTTTTATTATAAGAGCTAGAACTTTGTTATATTTTTAAGCTCATTCATATTTGAGAATTTCTGCCTGTTACCTTTATACTTGAAAAGAGATAGCATGTTGTCATGCTCAGCCCCCTCACTGTGTGACGCACTGTGCCACCTTGGGACTTCAGAGTCCCCACGAGCAAGAAGGCTCTCACCAGATGTGGTCCCTTGACTTGGACTTCTCTGCCTCCACAACTGTAGGAGATAAATTCTTTTTTAAAAATAATTTTTTTAGGCCAGGCGTAGCGGCTCATACCTGTAATCCTAGCACTTTGGAGGCTGAGGCAGGAGAGTCACTTGAGTTCAGGAGTTCAAGACCAGCCTGGGCAACATAGTGAGACCCCATTTCTACAAAAAAATAAAAAATTACCTGCACACGGTGGCATATGTCTATAGTTCCAGCTACTTGGGAGTCTGAGGTGGGAAGATCCCTTGAACCTGGGAGGTTGAGACTGCAGTGAGCCATGATTGTGCCCACTGCACTCCAGCCTGAGCAACAACGTGAGACCCTATCTCTAAATAAATAAATTAATTAAAATAAAATAAAAATTTTTAGAAGGAAGAAAAAAAGAGACCATAACTGGTTATAGTGTTCTGAGATCTTTTTAGACGATTCGGATCCATTGCCTTCTGGTTTGGTTTTTTGTTGTTGTTTGTTGTTGTTTATTTTTTTGGAGACAGAGTCTTGCTCTGCCACCCAGGCCCAGGCTTGAGCACAGTGGTACGATCATGGCTCACTGCAATCCAGACTCCCTGGGCTCAAGCACTTCTCCCACCTCAGCCTCCTGAGTAGCTAGGACTACAGGCATTCACCGCCATGCCTGGCTAGTTTTTAAATTTTTCGTAGAGTTGAGGTCTCACTATGTTGCTGAGGCTGGGCTCAAGCCATCCTCCTGCCTCGGCCTCCCAAAGTGTTGGGATTACAGGCATGAGCCATCATGCCTGGCTGCCTTCTGTTTTTGAATATGCTTTTGGAGAATACTGAGGCCAAATTTACTCCTTTCTTCATTTCAGGGATAATTATTTGATTTCTATTTCTGAATCTTATCTCTGTTATACTTACTGGATTTTCTATTTCAGGAAATTAGTTATTTGTTTCGTCACCTTTGCCTTTCATATCTATAACATTTCTTTTGATTGTGTGATAGTATTTTTTTTTCCCTGCATTCACTAAAATAATCTCAGACCTATACTCTATGCCTTACTCAATTTTCAGTCATGTCTGTTCTGTTCTTTCCTGCTCTAGTTTATTTACTAGCTCATTACTGTTGCCGTTTGAATCTAATTTTGTTTCCTTAGCTCTGCAATCTTTTCATCTTATTCTATGATGTATTATCTTGTCTTTGAGCTTTTGTTATATTAGATTCTTACCCCTCTTGAATCATCATAGCTTGAAATAGCCATGGAGAAGCCACTTTCTCCCAGGCTGAGTTCCTGGGTTTTCTTTTCCTTCCTCCCCTCCTTCATTCTGTCCTTCTGTTGGTTATGGTATGCTTGCCTAGTTTCCATGCCATTTGTTTTCATCTTATCCATGCTTGATGTCAGCACCTACATTATCCACACCTTTTACTTGCTCAGATACGGTGTAAGTAGAGTCTCCTTGTCATTCTCCCCATTTGTCTGGAACTAGTTGTCTTTCCCATTTCAAACGTTAGGTTGCTTTGTCTCTATTCTATTCTAGCCTGAAGAGGGGTGGGAGAGAACTGGGTCTCAGCTTGTGCTGAGGGAGCCACCTGTGGGAGGGCTAGCCTCTGTTCTGTCTTCCTAGACTCCATTAAAGCCCTGTCCCAGCGCCCCTTCCACCAGCCAGTGGTGTCTGTGTGTCACCACTCTAGGCTCTGGATAGTGCCCAATTATGGCCCAGCACCCTGGAAGGTGGCCAGCCCTGCTTGCCTGTCCTGCCATTCCCGAGCCCCTGTGATATGTATAGGCTTCTGCCCTCAAGGGCTTTCCCTGACTTTTTCAGAGCTGCTCACTCACTCCCCTATTGGCTTCTCAGAATTGGAGGGTATTTGTGAAAATTCTCAGTATGACGTGTCTTTCCTGGTTAATACTTTCAGGGAATACAGGCAGAAGAATTTTCTATTTTTTCCTCTTGGCTCTTTTTACAACTTTAGCATGTTTGTTTCCCTTTTCCTTTTTGGTTGATGCTGGTGAACTTTTGGCTTTTTAATTTTTGTGTGTTCACTTTATTGGGTGTTGGGAGCATGTGGTAAATGCACCTGGGAGCAGTAACTGTGGGGCAGTTACTGTGGGGCAGATGCATCTGAATGTGTGTTCTAAGCTAGGGAACCCAGAAGTACCCAACCAGGAGGTTCCTTCCTTGTCTGTAAAGGGAGATCTGAGTCCCTGGCTCATCCTGTGACACATGGGCTGCACACAGGTTAAGGTCCTGAGTTTTGGGTTGAATGAAGATCACCAGGTGAAGATTGTTAGGGACAAGGTGCTAAGTGGAAATGCTGTATAAACTGCATGT